AGATTTCAAGATGGAAAAATCTGTCAGTGTATGCTGAATTTAAGGAAGTGTTCAGCAAAACCAAGCCACAATCAACCTCCTCTCTGGTTCCTCTCCACTCAACTCCAAATATCAAACTCCACTCAACTCTACTCAAACTAAGATACATCCATCCTTCCACTTCACCTCAATAGCTGGTCTCATCTTTGTTCAAAATAAAGGAGGCAGACTCAAACCCTGAACTGATTAGCTGGGAATAAACTAAGTCACAAAATATCCATATCTCTTGCAAAATCCCTCTCAAGTCACAAAATATCGATATCCTTTGCCTCTTGTTCTTTGCAGCCCTAGAATAGCTCAGGGAAGCACGTGACTTAACCCTGATCTCAGAAGCACCTACAACCTGATCTGCATCTGTGAGGGTGATACATGTAAAATAGCCTTTAGCACCTCCTCTGGCCACCACGAGTATTGTTATGCCATATGGGCTCTCTGATGCCCCCTATGTCTTCCAGGTGCTAATAAATGTCTTGTGAAACATGCTGGAAAAAATTCACCATCGCCTATATAGACAATATTCTTATCTTTTACCCTTTTAACCATTGTATAGGAGGTTCATTTGGAACTTCAGCTCCATAGCTGCTCCACTTACCTTACTGCTCAAGAAGGGCTCACAAAAGCACACATGGAAGAAGACTGGGGTCGGGGGCCGTGCTATACCAAACACTGGGTGAGAAACCAAAATTTCATCCCCCTGGAATTCTTTTCAAAGAAGCTGGCACCAGCAGAAAAAACTATAACACTGGGAACTTAGTGGTAAAACTGGTGCTAGAGAAGTGGCTTCACTGGTTTGAGGGAATGGCGCACCCCTTCGTTATATACACAAAACCTTGAATATCTGACTGAACACAGGAGAAGCCCGCTGGGCCTTATTCTTTTCCAATTTCAGTTCACAATCTCTTATCGTCTCAGTTCAAAAAATGTTAAAGCTGATTCTCTATCCAGAATGTATCCAACAACCCCAAGAGCGGAGGGTACAGATCTAATCCTCCCAGAATCATTCTTCGTCTGTGCCATTTCCTGGGACATTGACCAAGAGATAACCAGAGTGAACACAAGAGAAACTGTGCATCCCAATGCGACCATAATAAGTAACAATGTTCCACATCACCTATAAGGGAAATTCATCTGGGCTCATGCATCTCTGGCTATGGGACCCCCTTGTCAGCTGCTACAGTCAAAATACTGGTGAAATGGTATGCTTAACAACATTCACAAATTCATTTCCTCATACACCACCTGTCCCGAGAAAACTGCTTCCCCTGCCTACACCACCCCATAACAACGCTCATAGACAAACCTGACTCTAGATTTCACCACCAATCTCCCACCATAACTGTAGAACACAGCCCAGTATTGTTATACAAATTGAGATGAATGCATGGAGCAGAAGTCGATCCCCTCCATGTAGGGACAGGGACAGGGACGTTAACATTTCTCATTACTCAGCTAAAGTCACTCTCACTTACCCAATGATGAACTTCATCTTGCCTTTACGTGCTGTATCTACAAGGATAGGCACAAGCTGGGGGTCTCGTGGGCCAAAGATCCCATGAGGACGAATTGCCACAGTAAGGAAATCTTTTTCTTTACTGCATGCCTCCAAGACTACCTACCCAGAAGGCAAAGAGAAATAATTCATTGTTTAGATTATATAAATTATGGCTTTGGACATATATTTGAGTTAATAATTTTAAAAAATCCAGTATTAAAACAGTGGCAACAAATATAAAATACCTATACAACCATATCTACCTTCTCCTGCTGAATTTTGGTCTCTGTGTAATAATCAATAGGTCTTTTTGCATAAGGCAAATCTTCTTTTCCATTCTTGATGTCAGTTCCTTCAAACACCACACTGGCACTGCTGGTTAGGACAAGTTTCTACAAACCAGATAATAAGGCCATGAAATATCAGGCAATTCATTGTTCAAATAAGAAGTGACTTGTGGGGTTTATAATAGATCATGATATGATAAACTAACATGCCAGTCTGTCTCAATGCAACAGCTTTTAAATGTAAAAATCTTGTCCAAAAGTGTCAAAAAATCCACAGAGCAAGGAAATGTGAGAATGTTCACCTCTGTCCTATTGCTGCAATCCATCTGTTTGGACAATTAAATAGTCATTAATGCAGCCATCATGATCATTCATGACTGACAATATGGTTACCATTTTTAACTGTTGATATTGAGTAAATAAGGTATGTATTACAACAGTATTTTAGCTTGTCTTTGTTTTAAACAGTTATTTTACAGCATTTCAATCTGAAAGCTTGAAATGTTGCCTGACTCAGATTATGTGCAATTTAAATTTACAACTATTTTTTATAGGAGGTACAGTGGTGCAGGGGGCAGTGTTGCCACCTCACAGGTCCAGGGTCCCTGGTTCAATTTTGAGCTTGGGTTACTGTCTGTGTGGAGTTTCATAGTTTCTTCCAGTTTCTGTGTGGGTTTCCTCTGGGTTCTCCGGTTTCCTCCCACCTCCTTGCAATGGACTGACATCCTATCGTGGGGTGCATTTCCAACCTCATGCCCAGTGTTCCCACGACAGGCTCTGTGTTCACCACAACCCTAACTTGGATGGCGCGGTTACTGAAGATAAATGAATGAACTATTTGAATGTACTAAATAGTATCAGTTTCCATTGAAAATGGTTGAAATGGTTGGTATGATATGGTTACCAATCACCTAAACCTGTTGCTAAGAGCAACTGGGCAACTGTTCATGTTGATTCCTGCTATAATTATTCATAACCACATCAAAACCTCAGTAAAGGTTTAAAATATAAGTGTGCCTCAGTAGCCTTCTTCCTTATAGCAGGTCTCTTGTGGTCCAAACAGCTCTCCCTCTTCTCCTTCCCATTTCAAACTATGATTTCAACCTTCTGGGTCAGGACTACATGAAGTGCAAATTGCATGATAAGCAAAGAGCAATAATTTGAATTATTTGAATGAAAAATGCATCAGATGGAATTACTAAACCAAACAGTACATATTACACAGAATAGAAGGTACAGTATGAAGATAAGCTATATGGCATAAGCAGCAATGTATAAAGACAAAAAATAAAAGTATATACACTAAAATAAAAGTAATACACTACATGGCCGTATGTGCCCCCATATGTGCTTTTTGAACATCCCATTCCAGATTTAGACCCCCTTTGCTGTTTAATAAGCTCCACTCTTCTGGGAAGGCTTTTCACTAGATTTTGGAGCATGACTGTGGGGATTTGCCCATTCAGCCATAAGAGCATTAGTGAGGTCAGGCACTCATGTTGAGTGAGGAAGCCTAGGACGCAGTCAGCTTTGTGCACAGGGGCATTGTCATGCTGGAACAGGTTTGGGCCTCTTAGTTCCAGTGAAGGAAAATCTTAATGCTACATCATACAAAGACATCCTATACAATTGTGTGCTTTGCAGCAACAGTTTGGGGAAGAACCACATATGTGTCCATAGGTGTCCACAAACATTTGGCCATATAGTTTATCTCCGAAGTGTGTGTTCCATACCTGCACCCCGGCCTCTTGGCAAGCCTGAATAACAGTGCGTGTGCCTTCAACATTAACTTTCCAGAAGAGATTTCGATCATCGCAGGCCGGTGAAGGAGAAGCGCAGTGAAACACCAGTGACACATCCTTCAAAACTTTGAGCAAAGCCTAAAAATGAGAAGAATGATACAAAGAAATGAAACAAAATGTTCTGGTCTGTACTGATCAGTGGATGTCTTAGTGACCCTAGCCAATGTTTTAAATGTTTGAAGCTATATGTGTAAAGTTTAGTGAAAATACCCAAAGTATATTACTACCAACCCAATTATCATCTATATAAACAATACTGATGGAAGCAAACATTTCAAAGTCATTCGTAGGTCCTGGGACCCTTCCAATGATGTGTGTGTACAGATAAAATTATGAATAAAGGTCAATTAACCAGTCATTTTTTTAGTCAATTATTTCAATATTAAATAAGATTTTTCATGAGCCAAGCACATAAAATTTAATGTTGAAAAAATATATTTTTGTGCATGCATTGCAAAATGTTTTTTTAAGAATTGTAAAAATCTGATCACCTGTTTGTCACACAAGTCTCCTTGGTGAAATGTGACTCCAGGAACCTCATATCTCTGTGCGATATCAAACACAGCCACTGAGTAACCTTTCTCCACCAGACGCTCAACGAGGTGCCTCCCCAAAAAGCCAGAGCCGCCAATGACAGCACATCTTTTACTGCTCTGTTCACAGGAAACATTGAGCCTTTACTCAATCTCAATACTGTCATATGACCAATGTTTGGACTTTTTGATGAATTTTTGATTTTTGGACAAAACTGAGCTTTTACAGTTTCACACTGTGTGGATTCAACATATTAATTTGTGTTGAAGTGTTGCTGCCTCACAGCTCCAGGGTCCCAGGTTTGATCCTGACCTTGAGTTACTGTCTGAATTTTCTCTGGCCTCTCTGTTTTCTTCCCACCTTCCAAGAACATGCTGAAAGGTGGATTGCCTACACCAAATTTCCCCTAGGTGTCCAGAAATGTGTGAACTTGTGTGTTTATGGCTCCTTAGAGTTATTCCCAGATACCCAGGTTTATTCATTTTCCAATCAAGTTGCTTTAATGGCATGACAAACAATGGTATATTTGTAATAATAATAATAATAATAATAATAATAATAATAATAATAATAATAATGAAGAAGAAGAAGAAGAAGAAGAAGAAAACTGTATAAAAATGCAAAGAACAAAAATATCAAATAAATCAACTACATCAACAGTAATAATAATGATTATAGATAGACAGAGAGACAAATATTATTTGTGGATGATTCCAAAGTGTGTCTCTGAGTGGGCTTCTTATACAACTTGATCATCTTATAAAGATCCCAAGTGAAATAACTGTTTTTGATGAACTGCCATGTTATATTGTATTTAACTTCAAAATATAGAACTAAAACTAGACTGGGCAGTCATAGCTCAGTGGTTAAGACGTTGGACTACTGATGGGAAGGTTGTGAGTTCAAATCTCACCACAACCCTCAACTACTAAGCTGTATAAATGAGATAAATATAAATTGCTCTGAATAAGGGCGTCTACCAAATGCAATCTTAGCAGTAAATTATTGCGCCAATTTATTTATTTAAATATAAATAGCGGTACACTCACCGGCCGGATGCGCGTTGCCATTGTTAAAGCACTGAAAGGGTTCAAATCTATTAGGGTCAACTTCAGACAAAATAGTTTTCTGCACACCTCTCATACACAGCCAGCTGTCCTGATCCAAACTACTTTACACTGCTGAACTGAGAGCTACAACTAACCTCCAAGCAGAGAAAGAACAGATATCAAGCAGATCTCCTCATGCACAAACCTGCAGAAAGAAAACTTTGAACTTGTGATGAGAAGTCTGGCTCTTTTCAGTGAGTCGGATCATTTGGTTCAGTTCACTGATAAGAGCCGATTCTTTCGGCTCCCAAACGGCCAGACAAAATTTTGCTGATTATTCTTCTGCTTCAGCTACGGAGGAAATTGTAATAATTAGATAATTTTTTAAATTTTTATAAATAACTGTAATATCCCCATGATATTGACAAATATAGTAAGCATCCCTGCATTAAAGAAGAAAATATACGGGTCAGCTCTGAGCCGGCTCAAGGAGTCGATTCATTCGCGAACAACATACCACGATTTTGCACACCCATGGCTGAATCCCAAATGGCCCCCTATTTTCGTCATAAGTGCACTTTATAGGGTGTAACGTAATGTGTTTTAAATGTGCACTATATATCCATTAGTGTGCAATTTGAGATTCAACCTATGAACATATCAGCTGAGAAGGGAAACCGCTGCCATTGGCTGCGCTGATCCTCTGTTCTCAAGGGAACGCATGTGTCTGACCAATGAAGAAAGAGCTACGTAATATTACGCCACTGCTTTGACCAATGAATGGATGGTGCCTTCTTAGTGCCCGCCCCGGTTTTAGATTTGTATTAGTGCATTACAGTTTGTCATGAGGACAATAAAAAAGTGAGAGAAGTACAACAAACAGTAATGGCGTAAATTTGCTCACAGTTTATCTGCTTTTAAAGTAAGATGGGCCAAACTGGTAGATGGAATAGAAATAATAATGATAATCACCAATATCTCAGTACAATGCCTATGCTGGAATAAGAATAAGATTATCGTGTCCACAATCATGGACAGTCAATTTAAGGCTCTTTTTAAATATATTTTAGGAAAATATAAGAATCACCTCCAAGTCACTTTAGAGCATTACTGTAAATTATTGTAAACTTCTGTAGCTTTCTAGACTATTGTCATTCTCAAACATTGCTAACTACATTGTAAAAATAATAATAATATATAAATAATAAAAATAAGTAAAAAATGGTTTTGTGCCAGACACCACTGAACACCTTAGATTTTTAAAAACTAGGGTTTGTTTGTTTGTTTGTTTTTGTTTGTTTTGTGGGGGGGGGGTTTTTTTGTTGTTGTTGTTGTTGCTGCTGTTGTTTGGAGAGTGGATTTTTTTTAACTCTTTGCATTATGCAGCAGTATGTTCTAAACAATTTGTCTTCAGCGTCACATATTTTAACA